GCAAACAGGGCCCAACAGAATCCATTACTTTGAACAACTCATCTGTGAGGTGCATGGGTTCCCAACACTGGCTTAGCACAAAGCCTGGAAGCAGAACTGCTAGCCCAGGGCCATGCAAAGAAAAAAATAAACCTTCCAATAACTCCACAGCACTTATTATACTATTTTTTATATACTATTTAATGTAAAGTAATACTATTATATTAAACCTCTGCTCGAACTTTTGAGATGCTTCATTCAAATGTATTTATTAAAATGTTGGACTGTTCCTTTATCAGTGTATAATAATTTTAGGGAACATAGTCAGGAACAGGTGAAATGTGCAGACACTAACAAGGGTGCTTTGCTCTTGTGATATTTAGTCATTTATTTACAATATTTACACTTACAATGGCCACAGAGAGAACATAACACATGATGCACAGTTACATATGGGATATAACAAGAAGAACATGTGTAATAATAGATGATTAGAGCTATGTTGGTTTTAGTCCAGACTGATTATTTATAATAACAGGGTCATTCCTGTTATGCAGCAACATTTTGGTCTCAAAGTTTTTGGAAACAAATGATTGAGCAAATTATGATTTATCATGTTTTTGCATTATATAAGAACAGTGACATGTTTAACTCTCAGGAAAACATATTGGCCAATCTCAGGTACTCAAAAATAATTGTGTGGACGGAAAATGAACAGCGCTCTCCTGGTTGATTGTCCAGTTTCTGGCCTTTACCTTAACATATCAAACAAATGTTGGCGTACATTAACACACATTGTAACATTTATAAACTGACTGACATAAAGGAACACCAAGCTAACTTTAGTGTTTGGCTAACTTGTCACCGGGGGTAAGCAGATGAACGTATTGTGTAAATGTGTATGAGAGGAATGTAATTTCCATGTTTGATGCTGGTCTGACCCCCTCTCTTCTTTCAGGGTGGAGCCTGCTGGAGTCCGATGGTTGACACCAGGTCTGAGGAAGTGTAAGTGTGTTTTTCATTTGATTCATGAAAACAAAGCAGCAAACATTCAACCATCTTCAGACTTTTAAATCGCTATAGTCATCATCAAAGTGTCAATCAATGAACAGATGATAGATCAATAACTGCAGCTGGATTGTGTCTCGTTCTCTCCATCAGATTCCTGTGAACTCACAGTCGACACAAACACAGTACACAGAAACATCAAGCTGTCTGACGACAACAGGAAGGCGACATGTGTGTTAGAGAACATGTCATATCCGGATCATCCAGACAGGTTTGACCAGTGTCCTCAGCTGCTGTGTAGAGATGGTCTGACTGGTCGCTGTTACTGGGAGGTCGAATGGAGAAAAAGCGTTAACATATCAGTGAGTTACAGAGGAATCAGAAGGAGAGGAGAGAGAGAAGACTGTGTGTTTGGATTGAACGATCAGTCCTGGAGTCTGAGCTGCTCTGATCGTGATGGTTACTCTGTCTGGCACAATAACATAAGAACAACCACCTCCTCCTCCTCCTCCTCCTCCTCCTCTAACAGAGCAGCAGTGTATGTGGACTGTCCTGCTGGCTCTCTGTCCTTCTACAGAGTCTCCTCTGACACACTGATCCACCTCCACACCTTCAACACCACATTCACTGAACCTCTTTATCCTGGCTTTGGGTTCGGGTCCTGGGATTCTGGTTCTTCAGTGTCTCTGTGTTCTGTTTAGGAGGGAGAGTCTCCTCCTGTTGGAGAAACATTCTTACTGCTGAACAGATCAGTTGAGTCTGTACAGTTACAGAAATCGTTCAGGTGTTTGGGAAACTCACCTTTTGTACGGGCCTTCAAGTAAAACCTCTCTGTCTGATATTTCACACCTGGTGTACTTCGCCTTTCGCTCGTTGTCAGCTGGGATTGGCTACAGCCCCCCCCCCCCCCCCCCCGACCTTGTACGCAGGATAAGCGGTTGAGGTTGGATGGATGGTATATACATGTATGTAGATATAGATATATGTGTGCGTGTTTTGTGTTTTGAGGTGACTTTTGTTTCTTGTATTGTTTTTTAAAAATAAAGATTATTATTATTAATGTGTGTGTATATATAGATGTACATATAGATGTACAGTGCCTTGCGAAAGTATTCGGCCCCCTTGAACTTTTCGACCTTTTGCCACATTTCAGGCTTCAAACATAAAGATATAAAACTGTAATTTTTTGTGAAGAATCAACAACAATTGGGATACAATCATGAAGTGGAACGAAATTTATACTTTCGCAAGGCACTGTATATCTAGTAGCTTAGCTCACTACATTTTCCAAGTAGCTTTCCCAACACTGATCATTATTTGGTGGAAATTTCTTTGACTTTTACCGTCTTGTCATTTGTTGTTTTGACTTATTTTGTTCCAATAAAAGCAGAGTGTTACTGTGAGTGTTTGTTGTCTTTCTCAGGTCAGGACCAGGGAGACTGATAGGATTTTTGCAAGGCTGATACTGATGATTAGTAGTCAAGTTGGCCGATATTTGGAACCGCTATGTATTTGTCGTAAAGGTGAAAATCTCCAACACAAACGTAAACATTTTTTAAGACACTTTTATTATAAAGTTTTCTTTTAAAGAACAAACACATAAAACTCAACACAACAAAAAAATAAAATAAACAAGAAGTCACCCTCTTCTTCCATCTTGCAAAATATAATATACATATCAGTATTTGGTCAGAAGTGTCTTTTACATGTTATTTTTTAAAGATATTGCGAATTTGTTTTCCCACTGTGGTGTTGTCTTTTGGAAATTTCTAAATCTCTGGTTTGTAAATACCTCAAGTGGTCCTGATTCTTTTTCAATTTAGCTTTTTTCCTTATTCACTGAAATGTAAATAAATAAACAAAATAGATCCCCAATATTTTATAGGGGTGGTGATGCTGCAATGGATAAGACGCCTGCCTTTGGTGTGAGCATTTTGAAATCTGCTGTTTTAAAGTATATAAATCTTTTTAACTGTTTTAACCTCTTTCCCTTGACTGATATGTTTATCTTTTAGTCCATGTGTTTATTTCTCTCTGTGATTATTTCATTGCCTATCACACATATGTTGGCAATAAGGTTTTAAAATGTTTAAACTTTCCTATGAAAGGGTGAATCTCATAGTGTATCAGTTTGTTTTACAGGTTGATCAACTGAGGATCTGAAAAAATGCCGGGAGGCAGGGCCTTTCTGCTCTTGGCCAATCACAATCTGAATCTGAAACACCTGGGAAGTTCTTTCAGTTTTCGCTTCTGAAACCCACTTCTGTGTTCGCTGTCATTTCTCTAGCTATCTGCTCTTTTGTGTGGAGATTTTATGTTTCTGACAGAAACCTGGCTTCATGCTGGTGAGTTCACTCCATTCTCTGAACTTCTTCCTCCCTGCTGTCACTTTCTCAGCTCAGGGCGTCTGTGTTCAAATCTGTCTTTCGTTGTCGGGAAATTCTGGTTACTTGTGGTTAAAACTGTGTTATGTGCGGTGGTGTAAGTTTAACAAGGATTTTATTCAAGACTTTGCAGACTTGCTTTGAAATATGATGACTTCTTAATTATTGGTGATTTTAACATGTGTGCTGTGAATCCAAACCTCTGGCTAAAGATTTTCTTACTCTTCTTGACTCTTTTAATCTCACGCTGTCACCGGCCCGACATATTCTGGATCTTGTGCTGCCGTATGGTTTATGTGTAACCATAAGTGAATCTACCTGTCTTATTTACTGTGGCTCTCCCCTGTTTGGAGATTTCTACCTGTGCGTGCAATTAACCCTTTAACTGCAGTTTTGATTGTACTTGCACTGAGATATTGGACTGTGGTGCTTCACTGACGGAGAAACGCTATAAACCACTTTTCAATAAAAGGACAATTCCTAGAGAGTGGTTTTTAATCAACTTCGATCATTTTTAGATGATTTTAGTATTCATGAAAAATTCCTCGATGTCCCCAGATCCAGGTTAAAAACAGTGACTGAGCCTTCTCAGTAGCTGCTCCTATCTTTGGAATACTTTACCTGTTCAAATAAGAAATGCCCAAACTCCTGACACTTTCAAATCCTTGCTAAAGACTTATCTTTATTCATTGGCCTTCAAACAGAGTTGAGTAGTGACATTTATTTTATGTTTTACTTTTTCTGCTGTTGTCATGTAAAATAAATAAACTTGAATTTGAACTTGAACTCTAATCTGAGCCCTTATGTCTCCACTTGCATGTGAATCAGTACTAAATTTACTGCACTATTTATAATTTTTTTATAAAATGAGACTTTAAAGACAGTTTCACTGACCATTATTCTTGCGATATTTTATATTCGCAGATCAAAGATTCTGAAAGCAAAGCCTGAGTTTAAAAACAAAGTGGGAATAAAAACAGGATGTGACTGAAGATCAGCTGAAGCATAGCAACACTGTTAGAAATTACCAGCATTTCACAATAATTAAAAGTATTATTTTACAGTAACTTGTTGTAAATGAGTTTCCCTGTAATATCCCGATGAATACCTGTAAAAACTACAGTATCCTTGGATTTTACAGCATTTAACTCTTATTTTACAGTAAAATCTTGCAATCTAAAACCTGCTGTTATATCACAACAAGGTCTGTAATATCACAGCAACACAGTGAAAAAATTAAGGATTTCACAGCATTAAACAGTATTATTACATTGTGCCCTTGGAAGTCACATGACATAACTGAACTGTTTTGAACTGAAGGCTCCGTCGTGTCCCTCTTCTATTCCGGGCTGAATGGAGAAGTTGAGCAGCATGCATGTTTGCAGCACTTACACCCATGTTATTTTAATATGATAATAATATTTACTTTCAAATAAACGTTTATCGCATGACTCAGTTCACATTTTGTTAGCAAGTGCCCGGAATTGTTGAAAGTTCTCTCACAGCATTTGCTAATAGTAGTAATGTTAGTAATGAGGAGAGTTTCGCTACAGTTTTTCATGTCACTATCCCCGTTTAGACAAATCTGGTGTTTGTAAAGTTTATAAAACCAATGATGGGACAAACATTACTATTTATGTGTGCACATTTCTGTAATTAGTCAAGGTTATCATAGATTAGCATTGCTAACTGTTAGCTGTTTAACTTTAATAACTTAGTGATTCAAACGGTGATTCACCGTCAAAAAAGATAGTGATTCAAACAACACAAAATCACTCTCCAGAACTTTCTCATTCACGGTTCCATGCTCATCCGGAATGCACAATCCAGGTCCATGAAAAAATATTTTTCCAGCGGATATCCTAGTTACAACATGACTGAGCTAACTGGAGTAAGTTAGTCTCATGTCGTGTTCGACAACGGGATATGAATGAATAATAATTGTAAAAGTTGTAAATGCACTTTACATTGAGTGAGCAATCTCAAAGTGCTACAGTAAAAAAACACTATAGATATACCACTATCATTTTTGACATACGGCTAAAATTAAATGAAAATCAATTATCATAATCTGCATTCAAACTGAAATTCTTATTGTTGGTTGCCTTTGTGTAATTTCTCCTTTTTCTTTTCTTTTCTTTCCAGGTCCATCCTGTTCAGTGTCAGGCTAAGAGTGAGGAGAAATAGATTAGGTAGGTTACTAGTTAACATGCATCCACAATGTTCAACTGTAAATTCGTTGGCTGTGAGCATGTGTCTGAGAATGTGTGTAACTATGTTCTTTTGCTTCACATTCCAGAAAACATAGATGTGCATCATGTGCAGTATTCAGAGGCTGCCGAGGAACACGCAGCACCTGAAAATAGTCCCCGTTGAATTCTACGGGGACTATTTTCACGTGCTGCGTAATATCACTGCGCCCATGGTACGTTTGCAACGTTCCTTGATTATTACGCCAGGATGAGAGTATAGTTCCATGTCAAATCAGCCTAGAAAATTGCCATGTTTCATTTTCCGCTAGTTTTATCGCACGTTCTAACTTGAGAAGAGACAACTTTTAAATAGGAAAAATTCCGGAAATCTTAGTCATTTTGAGGGTGAGATGCTAATGGTCTAATCCGATCCAATGATCTATGCTAGACTGGAGCTATACGTGGTATTGCTTAATTCCCCAAATGGTGGAATATCCCTTTAATTAGTTTGATAAAATACACCTGTGTTTACAAAACTATTACACTGTAACATAACTTCTGTGGGATGGGTCTATTTAAACAGTCACAACAGGGAATCGAACTGCTGACCCTTCAATCATGAGACGACTTGCTCCAACTTCTGAGCTACAACCGTCCCCAATAGTATTGTTACCCTGTGATGCCCACTCCTAGGTGTGTCAGGTGGAAGACCAAATTGTGTCTATATACACAGAGGAAGGAATGAGTGGGGCAGGGAACCAATGATGGAAAAGACATACGTCATCCTGCGGAAATACCTTACCAAAGTGCCTGCTGCAGCGATGTCTGAGATCAAACAGGAATGGCCATTTCTCTTCTTTCAGAAATGCCTATTGTCACACTTTGGCCTCCTGACGGACGTCGATGTCCTTCAGAAGCTACAGGAGGCAATTAGTCGACGAGGACAGACCGTCCTGGATTACTGTGCAACACTGGACAACCCCAAGATCCGTGATGTTCTGGCCTGCTATGATCCAGACTCTGACAAGGCTGCCTGCATCCTGCTGCTCCTAATGTTGTACTTCAAAGAGCCGAAAGAGAGTTTGATGCTTGAAGTTGATGTAAGATTTTTTTATTCAAATATTTAAAATGCAAAATGTGTGATTACATTATCAACATTTACCTTGCATGATTTACTACCTCTGACCAATGAACAA